ACGCTCATGTCATTTCGTCTAGTGGTCTCGCAGAGGTAAGGATGCAAGCGGGCCCGTCTGCAGACACCCGGCAGGACGCAAGCATCATCTGCATGTAAAATTTGATTGCCCTGCAGCAACCTGCAGGCGTGTGCTAATTTGACTGCCCTGTCCTGCTGGGTTCTGCACCAAAACGCAAGTAGGTCTGCGGACGCCTGCAGGTTGCTTCCTCGAGGAGATGGAGATCGCCCGCAGTGCGCCCGCGACCAACGTGGTGACGGCGCGGTGGCTCAAGTGTACCCCGGCGTCGACCGCTCGAGCTCTATCCTCAGCACGGTCGACAGCTTCGTCCGTCGCTTCCGCAACCGACAGCAGCAGGAGGCCGCCGGCGACGTCTGCGACTGCAACGACCCCGAGTTCTCGCTGCGACGGCGGCACGTCACCGCGTTCCTGCGGCTCCTGCACGAGCTCCGTGACCGCCAGTTGCAGTGGAGGCTGCTGTTGGGGTCAGGGGTCGCCCTCAAAGGCGACCAGCTGACCCCTTTCGGTTGGGGCCTCTTCATCGGCGCAGCTAGCGGCGGCGGCAGCGAGCATGGTGTGGCGCTGGGTGACTACTTCCTCGGCCCAAGCCTCGACGCGTTGGTGCAGCAGCTCGCCGAGAACGACGCGGGGTGGCAGAGGGAACGCCGCCGGCCAATAAGGAGGTCGTGGAGGCAAAGGCAATACCGACCGTGGCAATCGCCAGTGGCAACGATGACGACACGGCCAGCTTCCCTGCGCTGCTGTGCGGCAGATGCGGCGATCTGCTCGACTGCTCGTGCTAGGGATGCAGCGTGTGCGGATGCCGCGTCTACGCAGGTCTTGCAGGCCTTTGCAGGCTGATGCAGGCGGCCCGTTCCAGTCCCTTAGGCTTTGCAGGCTGGGCTGCTTAGGCCCGCGTCACTTGAAGCAGGAGCCCGCAGTGTCCGTAAGGGCTATTTTTGCAGGCGGGCCGAGCAGGCTAGCAGGTCGGCCCGCACCTGCTTGCATCCTTACGCAGAGGCATGTGATAGCCTGCAGCAGAAGGAGCATGCCCACTCTTTTTGCTGTGCAGGAGCAGAATCAAAGGATAGGCGGATGGTGGCCTTGGAGAGAGAGAATAGTAGCTCTATTTTTCTCTGTCAACTGGACTCTACTGTGTACCTGAGGCTAATGCCTCTATATGCCTGCGTTGTACGTGCCCTTATGCTCTGTATCTTGAGCGGGCTTATTACTTTATAGCCCATGGTCCATGACTTCTTGTTTCCGAAACTGCTGGACTTATACTTATACAGATTCCAAAGAGCGATCGAACTTTAATAACAACGAAAAACATTACCGGAAAAAGACAAGTGCCCGGACGTCCGGACACCAGCGCTTGCTTTCCACCCACGCTACCGACACGCTCTCTTTACGGCCCGCTCGAACACCCTAAATCCGCTTGTTCGGGCTTTTTTTTCAAATTAACAATATTTTTCTCTCACAATATTTCAAATTAGAATTGTGTTTTTCACCTGGCCAAATAAGGTTCAAAGAAGTTTAACGGGGCCTACATGGGACGAAAACAGCCAGAGCGACGCACTCTCTCCGGATGCATGCGCCAACGGAAGGGATCGTGTGCACCGCGCCTCCCGGCCCCACTTTGCTCGAGTAGGCCCTAACGCATGCATGCAAATGCTCGCCTGCACATTGCTACTGCTATCAGACTGCTTTACGCTCTCTGGCTATTGCCGCCGTTGTTTGCAAGATCATTCTTATCACAAGCGCATCGCTTCCCACCTCCCACCATTCTGTCATGCAGTATATGCACGCTGCACATGCATGTATGGGGCCACACCGCTTTCGCTTCCCAAGACACACGAGGGGACCACCTCCGTCTGCGCCCACTTCCCGCGCTTGGTCTTGCAACATAAAAGCATTTGCTGCAAAATACGTTCAAAACAAATGAAATATTTACAAACGTACGCTTGCAATATTTGTGTATGGCCACTGCAACATATCCAACATCCAGATAAAACACTTGAAACATATGTTTGAAATAGCTGAAACATTTGAAACATACACTTGCAATATACGTGTATAGCCAGTGCAACGTATGCAACATCTAGATAAAACACATGCAACATACATTTGAAACAGCTGAAACATTTAAAACATACACTTGCAACATACGTGTATAGCCATTACAACATATGCAACATCCAGATAAAACACTTGAAACATATGTTTGAAATAGCTGAAACATTTGAAACATACACTTGCAACATACGTGTATAGTCAGTGCAACGTATGCAACATCTAGATAAAACACATGCAACATACATTTGAAACAGCTAAAATATTTGAAACATACACTTGCAACATACGTGTATAGCCATTACAACATATGCAACATCCAGATAAAACACTTGCAACATACGTTGAAAATAGCTGAAACATTTGAAACATACACTTGCAACATACGTGTATGGCCATTGCAACATATACAACATCCACATGAATCACATGCAACATCCATATGAACAGATAAAACGCTTGCAACATACGTTTGAAACAGCTGAAACATTTGAAACATACACTTGCAACATACGTGTATGCCCATTGCAACATATACACATCTACATGAAACACATGCAACATCCAGATAAAACATATATCTGAAACGCCATGGAGTGACGAAAAAATTTGGACAACACTCACCTGCCATGCAGATGTGGGCCCGCGCTCCTCTCAAAAATAGACAAGCGGGCTAGCCAACCCTGCAACTAGCTAAGCACCTAAGCCAATCGGCCAAAGCAGCAATGCGGCAGGCAGCATGCGATAGGGCAGCTTTGCCTCGGCGTAGACAACACACAGAGAGAAAAAGAGCAGCACGGCAAGCAGCAGCAGGCCTAGGTGCTAGGCAGCATAGGGCAGGCACAATAGGAGGCTGCCGCCCTTGGCGCGTGCGGCTAGGGGCCTGGCCGGTCCAGCCAGCAGCGCGCAGCAAGCAGCTAGTCCTCTCTCTATGGTCACACGCATGCATGCCCCCCCGCGCCGCATACACCCGAACGAGTGGCCATACACATATATTGCAAGCGTACGTTTGTAAATATTTCATTTGTTTCGAATGCATTTTGCGTTTGTTCAATCAAAAGAGAGTAGTTTTTTTAGTGTCTGTTGTACCTTTTGAGTTTGTTCAATCAAATTTTAGTAGAGGCCCTTGGTGACGTGTCAAAGGCCCATTGGTAAAATAAAACTATTTTAAACAACTCAAGGAGAGGGAAAACAAGAGTGAACTACTCTCTTTTGACGACCGTGGGCTTACACTACCTCTCTGGCCTTCGCGAGGTCAAGGCCCGTTATGCTCCGAAGCTCCATTTTTTTTATGAGAGCTCCGAAGCTCCATTGGACTTGTCTTCAAAACTGTTGGACTTGTCCATTCAAAAGAGCGATCAAATTTAACAACAGAAACCTTTTTCTCCAGATAGCAAACAACAAAAAACTGCAATAGTTCACCCTGTTAATCATAATACGACTAGTCTCAGTGGGAATTTGTGAATTTCGTGAGAGTCTCATGGCATTAAATAAGCTACCAACTTAAGCAAATATGTTGACATAACACCATATATTAATAAAGAGAGGCGATCAAAATTCCATGGGGATGAACTAGTCTACATCATTTCCAACATATGGAAATTTTGGAAACAGGACATGAAAACAAGTGTACCATAAGAAATAATAGAAATAATTTTGGCAAGAAAACAGATGTACCGTAAGAAATAGCACAAAGAAACACCTATTTACTGCATATGAAACAAATTAGCACCTAGTTTTTAGAGGAGTAAAAGCAACAAGGGGATCACGATGGCCAATTTTTATCTAAAGTTTGGTTTCTGACTAATAATTACATTAAATAGTTGTATGTGGGTAGTAAAAAGTGATTTTCTTCCTCACCTATTAGTAATTACATTTTTTTAGCAGAACCTATTAGTAATTACATTGCTTGGCTTTTTTTTAGGGGACTACATTGCTCAGCTAATGGGCTATAATTTAGCGTCTAGTCGATATCCAAATGGACGCTAACGCCGATCGCCGAGAATATTGGAAGGCCGAAGTACCAAAGGATCACTATCCTAAGGCCCAAGGTTTGTTTTCTCCTATGGTCCAAGGCCCATGGCTTCTCATAATCATAACAAGAACGACTGACCAAAGTTTCTACACCTACAGCACTTAATAACACCAATAAAAAAAATAACTCCATCCTAATATAAAGAATTTAACCCATAAACCTAGACAATTATTACTATGCACCTACACAAGTAACTATTCTAGACTCAATTACAGTATTTGGATGAGCACAAAACTTCCATCGTGGAGGCATACAGGCTTTTAGAGTCATGTTTCTGTTTGCTTCTCATCGGTGGAGTTTCTCTTATCTCTTTGGACATTTGGTTTGGTGCCCTGATTTTATTTTTAGTGTGAGTTTGTAATAATTGGTCTAATTCTTACCCCCAGAGGAACGATGAAGCCGGAACTTTTGTTTCCATTATCTAAAAAAAAAAGTAACGATGATCACTTGATCAGCATGTAACGCTGTAGCACTGGAAGTACATGAATACTCCTTCAGATGTTTCAAGTTACAGAAGTAGCAGAAGGTGGTAAATGAACACTTCGCTGTTTACTTCTACGGCACAAATTAACAATTTTAACACATCAATTACCATTCTACCTTGGCTACGAAAGCTACATATGCTGTAAATTGTAATACTGATGTACATTGCCAGCTTGACAAAAGAAACTGCAACCAGATTATCAGACGCTGATCCATGTAGATCAGAAAAAGAACTCGTTATACTTCAACCCTAATAATTTCTACTGTCCAATTACTCCATCTCATCCGAAAATACACAAAATTGACCAACATTGGCGACACAGAAGCTTCCACTGGCCAGATCAGCAGAATTCTGTTCCACATATGAACATGGGTTGGTTCTAGAATTCATATAGCAGCGCCGTTCAGATCAGACCGAAGGGAAGAATTTGTTCAGATTGAACGGCAACGAGTAGAACTCTTGGCTCCTCGCGTCTTTCTTGAAGCTCCTGAACTTTTCCCACCAATGGTTGCCTCTGTCCTTCCTCACCGCACTTTCCTTTATCTGGAGGGTGTTGTCCAGGATGTAGGCTACCAGCCCGGCGACAAACGGCTTTGACGTGAATGGCACGTTTATCATGTCATTGAACTGTCAAAGAGCAAAATCAAAGATTGGTTCATTTGTTACAGACCATTAGTTTGTCGAAGCTCAGGCTATCAAGGAAAAAAATAGTGTAGCTAGGCTTTCTTGATCATACCCATCTGGCGCCAGTGTGCACTGGACCATAGCTTGCAACAGATGTATACTCATTGAAGTACTGAGGAACTGATAAGCCCATGAAGAAAGCAAACCCCAGGATGAATTTGGTTCTAAAGCTGTTTAGGTTGCAGAACTGAAGTAAGCTCAGGCCAACACCACCTGAAAATGGAAGCATTCATTGAGTGCGATGCAGAATAAGAAGCTGAAAAATACCAAGTGGAAACTGTCAGACAACTATAGTGTTTTTTCAGGGAAATGGACTTACCAACATATGCGAATAAGAGACAGTACATGCCAGCAAATATGGGCAGTGGAATCGACGCAAACAGAGCTCCAAATTTTCCTGGTTTGGCAAAACAAATATCATCAACCTATCACAGCACCAGGGAAATACACATGAACACAACAGAAAACTGCGTAGTAAAACAAGTTACCAAGGACAGAGAAGAAAATCATGAACCCTGCAGATATTTGTACTACTCTCCGGCTGCCAATACGTGTCAATGCAAGCAATCCAATATTCTCTCTGTAAGCACAAAAACTCATAATGCATATTAGCAAAACATTTTTTTTCTGAACAAACAAGGATTGACACTCATTTTTTTCACTGGAATTATACTTACACTGAAACTGATGTCCCGGTGGCTGTCCCAAAAAATGAATCAAGCAAGAGACCAATGCCCTGACAAGGATGTTTCACATTTAACAATGTTACCAATACCATGGTACAAACTCAGATCAATGAGCCCACAATACAATATTTGAATCCTTACCTGCCATCCCACGCCCCGACTAATAATTGATGGAGGAATCATAGTTGCACTTGCATATCTTGAAGCACCAATGAAGGCGCCAGTTGACTACAATATTAAAACATATCAAATTCATATACTAGTCATAAATCGATATCATATATATTAGTCTAAGTCCCCTAGTCTAATGCAGTTTTCCATTCCATTTCCAGACAAGAGTATTGGAAACAAACCTCTACAAGAGCAATGAATGAAGTCATCATCATTGCGAAAGCTTCTCCAGCGTCAAATGTTGGAGCACCCCACTGAAAGGGGTAGGGAACACTTATCCTACAACAGTTGTTTCATAATAACCTTCATGAGGAATGTCACCAATATAGTAATCTAAAGTAAGATTATATTCGTCCCGAGATCTTACCAAGGCGCTCCTGAAATAAGGCCTGAACGATCAACACGGCAATGCACCTGTGTCTTTGGTGGAGAATTCTTGTAAGCACCACCGATAGTGAGAATGTACGCATACAGCCACACGATAGAGACAGTGAAAAGAACACTAAACCGGCTAAATACAGACTTCCCGAAGTCCAGAACTTGAGACAAATACTGCGAAAAGGATCAAGCAGTATTAGTACATGACATACTGCATAATAGGTAGCCGTGCAGGAACCAAGATATATCAGTACCTGAGAAAATACAACCAACAGGAAAACTTCTGGAAGGCCAATTTCGACGCATTTCGCTACCTACAAACATACACAAGTTTTGGCCACTCCCCAGTGAAGGTAGAAACATGGAGACAAAAAGATGGAGCAAACAAACTAACCCCTGGAAAGCCAAGCTCGTAGAGCCCAAATCCAACAAGTGATACCAGAGGAACAGCTGCCAGCGGACTCAATAATCTGCGAATGAAGGTGACGATAAGTCAATTTTACAGACTACAAAATGAACATGGTACCCCCAAAAATACAGGCATGGGGAAAAAAAAGTTTGACACTAACTTGACTACATTGCGCCAGAGCCCACTGAATCCAAGTATGATCTGAATTGTCGATGCGATGAGGAGAGCACCTTGCGTTCCCCTCATCGTCCGCAAGAATTTCTTCATGTGAGCAATAAAAAGTTTGTCAGTTATATTCTTGTATTATTCTTGAAGAAACTTGCGTCAAAAGAGACTGAAACATTGGTGATGAGGTGATGAGCAATTGAGCAGAAGAAGCTAGTATGAGTATGAGGTACCTCATGAGGGTTTGCTTCATTGCTGTACCGTCCAGCCAAGATGATCGAGATGGTGGGTCCGACGAAGATGTATGAGCCACCCATCACAACCGGAAGACGTGTCCCGAAGAATGTTTGGAACAGGGTGTTTATGCCAGCTACGAACAATATCGTCTGAACCACCCGAGCTTTCTCTTCCTGACAGAAAGGGTAAATACCATTCAGGTGTTCCGTCTGGGCGTCAATTCAGTGCAAACTTTAATACTGCTATACTTGGCTAATTCAGTGCAAACAAAATTAAAAAGTCTATCTAATGGAGTACTCCTACTAAACAGAGGAAGGATTAGCATTTCAGGGCTCACATTTCCGCCTCCCATCTGAGGAACGAGCGCGCTGGGTATGATGACAGTGGTGCCCAGCATAACGATGAAATGCTGGAATCCCAGTAAAATGGCCTCCGCTGCATAGAGGATCCCAAGCAAGGGTCAGAGAAACGTTAATCATGCCTGACCGTACTAGTACTACATGCCATTTCCATGCTTCGGGACTTGCACAAAATTTAATTTACAGAAAAAGATGTGCAACCACACCTCTTTCACGGTGGATTCAAGTGAAAGCAACCTTACTATGAGTAGTAGTAAATCCTAGACACTAGAGAGTATACTTGATCAAGCAAAGCTACTTTTTTTTCCGGAAATCAAGAACCAAATCATATAGGAGAAAAAAAAATGAAGAAAGCGATACGCACTTTTAATTACAACAACACATCATCAGTTTGGAGCAAACACCGGCAAAGACAGAGAAAGATTCAAAGAAGTGGACTAACAATCCCAGCTAGTAAGCTAATAGTAGTACTTTACCTGAAGAAAGAAGGATCAGCAGAGCACAGATGTCTCCAAAGGTGAAAATGAAAACCAACCTCAGCATCAGAGAAAAGACCGAAACATGCAGTGCAGGCAGAAAAAGAAGGCAAGAGGACAAGCACAGAGAACATTTGAACGGCGACACAAGCAAAACATACAAAAAAAAAAAACACTCCCAGAATAGAGTAGAGCACTACTAGAGCTGAGCTGGAGGTGGAGGTGCGCGGAAAGAAAAGAAGCACGTACGCCATGGCGGCGGGCTGGTGATGCAGAAGGCGACGCCGGGCAGCTGCTCCTTGGGCGGGAACGGCTGGAGCTCGTCGGCCTTGGGCGGCGGCGCGGCCGCCATCCTGTTCCGGTTCCGGCTCCAAAGCTTCACCTCACACCTCAGTCCACTGGGACCGTCGGTGAGTGAGTGAGTGAGGACACAGGCAACGGAAGCTCTCTCCAAGCAACTCCCGGATGAAGTGAAGGCAAGAACACGCGAACACGAGGGATTCGTTCTGCCTAGTGGCTAGTGGCTAGCGGAGGAAAGCAAGAACACAGAACTCGACGCCTTCACGAGGAAGGAAGAATATCGATCGTTGCCTTGCTTTGCTCTAGCTGTTTCCACGGCAGCCTACTAGGAAGTAGAAGTAGGAGCCGTAGTACTCCTGCGCAAGGAATGGAATCTGGCTGCCCCAGAAAAGGGCGCCTTTTTTTCCACCCTTTCGCACACGCCCACGGGCACACAATACTCTCTGCTCTATGATTGACTGCGGTTGAGCCGCTGGAATCAATCACCCGGCGGCAGGAAATACTAGGAAAAGGAGCGAGGGAGGAAGGAGATCACGGCACAGATGGCTTCGCGCGCGGAGGCTTGGGCTTGGGCACTTGGCTTCCCAAATACTACTACCCTGCCACGACGGAGCGTCAAGAAGGATCCGCGAGGAGCAGTCGGTTTCCAGCCGGGCAGAAAGGAGGTGGCAGCGGCGAGGCGCGCAGGAGAAAACGACACCTCTCCTTCCCTCTCTCTTTTTTTTTCTTTGCTCCTCGCTTTCCCCCTTTAAAATCGGCGCCTTTTATCAGCAGCAAGGCCGCTGCCGACTGCCGGAGTGCCTTCGGTTTCGTTTCGTTTCGCGGGAGACGGCGGCCAGACGGGAGTGGACTGCACACTGGACGGCGTGTGAGCCTGTCACGCACGCTGACAGATGCCGAGGAGGAGGAGGAAATGTGCATGCCAGGTTGCGGCGTCGGGCTTTCAAAGTGCAGGGGTTTTCTGCCTGTTTGTCGGTTGGTTTTTCGTTTCGGGCTTGACGAGCTTGGTGCCTGTTTAGGGGTTGTTGAAATTTTTGGCAAAATGACACCGCAGCATTTTCGTTGTTATTTAATAATTAGTGTTCAATCATAGTCTAATTAGGCTTAAAAGATTTGTCTCGTGGATTTCGTCTAAACTGTGTAATTAGTTTTATTTTTTATTTATATTTAATGCTTCATGCATGCGTTCAAAGATTTGATGTGACGGAGAATCTTGAAAAAATTGGTATTTTGGGAGGGAACTAAACAGGGCCTTAGTTTCCAAAATTTTGTAAAATTTTTTAAGATTCTCTGTCACATCGAATCTTTGGACGCATGCATGAAGCATTAAATATAAATAAAAAATAAAACTAATTACACACGAAATTCACGAGACGAATCTTTTAAGACTAATTAGATTATGATTGAACATTAATTGTCAAATAACAATGAAAGTGTTATAGTACCATTTCTAAAAAAAATCGCCAACTAAACGAGGCCTCGATCGGTGCTGGTTTATTACAGAGAGAACTCAGGGCCTGTTTAGTTGGCAAAAAATTTTGGTTTTGGGTACTGTAGCACTTTCGTTTGTATTTGACAATTAGTGTCTAATTATGGACTAATTAGGTTTGAAAGTTTCGTCTCGCGATTTCTCACCCAACTGTGTAATTAGTTTTTTTTTTCTACATTTAGTACTCCATGCATATGCCGTAAGATTCGATGTGATAAATACTACGCAAAAAATTTTAGGTTTTGGGTAGAACTAAACAGGCCCTCACTGAAACTAATAAGGGAGCGGCGGTTTGACTCTTGCGCTGCGCGCGCCTCGTCTTTGACCGGCCGTTATTGGTTCGTTGCCTTCCCAACTTTCCAAGGCAAAAGCCGGGTGGTGGCCACTGGCCAGACGTAAATGCACTGCTCCTGCAGCTGCACGCCTGCAACGGCACCAGGCCGTTACTGTAGTTTTTTTTTCATTTTGCCAGAAATGAAACTAAATAATTTAATAGCAGAACTAAATTTTCTTTTAACTTACTTGTAGCGCTCGGTCCAAGAAAAAATATATTCCCTCCTTCTCAAGATAAACGTGGCTATGGTATTTGTGCCGTTAAAAATTTCTTATGTTTGACTAAGTTTAAAAAAAATATCAACAACATTTATATCTCCAAATAAGTTTATTAAGAAAACATATTCAACGATCTATCGATAAATATTAATATTATATATATATATATATATATTTGGTTAAAGTTAAAAATATTTGACTCCTCGGGAAGAAAAATGACACTTATTTGAGACGATGGAGTAACTATAAAATTTATATAAGTCAAACTAGCTTAACTTTGACTAAATTATCCATAAATTTACATATAAATTACCCAACTATGGAATAACCATTAAATTTACATTTCAAATCACCCGTATCTACCATTATGAAGAAAAATATAAAGTTGCCTCTTTATTTTGTATCTAAATTACCCACATTTGAATACCGTGTTGTAGGCTAAAACAAACAACTATTGTGTATGCTATTGTAGTAAATAAGATTGGAATCTATGAGCTAAATCTATTATTTAATAAAATATAAAAGGAAATTTTGAATAAATGATATGAGAAATACTAGAGCTTGTATCAGATTTATCATGTATTTCCTCCATTTCAAATCGTAAGACATTTTGGCTTATCTAGATACGTAGCTCTTATTATGCACTTGGATATACACAATGTACGGATACACAGCAAAAGCAATGTATCTAGAAAAGCTAAAATATCTTATAATTTAAAACGAAGAGAGTAGATAACAAAATTACAATAACTAATAATATCAAAAGTTGAAAATCAAGATATCATGATATCACAAAAAGAGATGCAACGAGAGGTAACTTAAGCTAAAACTAAATATGTATTAAAATTGCACATAAGTGCAATGCAAAAGGATGAAAATGCATAAAGCAATTGATAAATTTATCATAAGCAGATAGAGTCATAGAGATTATGGATTACCCCAAATGAGTATTGTGTTAGGAGATGGAGAGAGAATAAAGATAATCAATTTTGATTAGCAAACCTTTTAATACTTAAGTAACGTAATACTCCGTATTTATATGCCGTGTTGGAGCACAGGTAGATGGGTTACTATTAATATAATTCCTATTTACTAGTGATGATTTATTTATCAATGATCCATATTGCTTTTGGAGAAGTAGCCATGATACCCAACAAACACCGTAAAAGGTCTCACTTTTGAAGGAAATTGGTTCTTGCTCAAGAAAACACTAACTGCGTCCTGCAACGAAGGAAAGAAACACGGTTAATAGTGTGTCCACCAGCTCCTGCAGCAAATGTCAACCTTTTCTGGGTCTTTGAGCAAAATAAAGCCAAGCATTTTGTGTCCTACGGCCTTTTTTGTTTTCTTTGGACATGGGAACATGGGTCTAGTGCAAAGCAGAGAACAGATTTAGATAGGTGGGGTTGAGGGAATTTATTCTCTATCTAGATAAAGGCCATGCATGACTCATGATAGTCTAACTACTGAAAGCAGCCCTAAAATTATACCGTACCCCCTCCCCTCCTTTTTTTTTTTTGGTTGCACTTAGGATCACGCCAAACACAAGTAGTCTATACGTGCCTGAAATCTTGCCTGAATCTAAGCTGCATGCGATGAATTGCGGTCAGTAGGGTGCAACTGCAACCAGCCCTGACTTCCAGTTGACCACAAACACTGTTGGTTAGTGTTTCCATTTAATATACGTAAACTACAAACTGCTAGTGACAAGTAGGAGTGACAAGTATACTGCTGAGAGAGTTGGTACGATTACAATAGGTGGGCAGACATTCTCCGTTCTCCCTTTCTGTTCTGTTCAAAGGTCGGTAGAATCATGGTTTGGAAGGTTCACGTAAATCTCTTCTGACCACCCAGGGCGTTGTTAAGGTGTGTTGTATTAAAATTTTTCTCTTATCTTAATATGGTCCCGTTCGACTGGTAGAATTTTGGTTGAAACTGGCTGAAAAACATTGTTCTAACTGAATTGTTGTGAGAGGAAAACACTGTTCCGGCTAGAAGAAAAAAAAAGGCTGAACGAGCCGAATATGGGGTAAGCCGAATGGAGCCTAAAGACGCGCAAACATTTTGCGTGATCGAGAGAAAAAAAAAAGAGTGACAAGTATTCTGTTTATGGTTTTAGCCGTATATTCGTACTCTACTAGTACTAGTATAATATAGTATTTTCGTCGCTGGTTGTTGGGTTCATCAAGAGCCATCTTGCATCTTCAGTCTGTTTGTTGTCATCGAGTATGCTGGATTATTGGACCAGATGCATGTGGAAGGACAGGGAAACATATGAAGCATACTGAACTGCACAAGCAAGCAATGACACCCAAAGACAGGAGGAGACAGTCGGTCCTAACGTCTGGCACAGAGGCGTACAGTACCTCTTCAGCAGGACGACTAGTCCAAGTCATCTTTGGGTCAAGACCAAGGAATGGGCCATTCCTGTGAGTTTTCATTCTTGTTTGTGAGAACTGGAAATAAATTGCAGGGTCCGCTTAGAATTACGTACAATTGTACTACAATTCAAACTACATGCAACCATGGTCCCACAAGGGGCTTTATCGGCCAACTTTTAATCAACTTTGGCAAGAGGACATGGTGACATGGTAGTGCTCATCAAGTGATGGTTCCATGTAATAATCGGTACTCCTAGTCCTAGTGCCTGAGTCTGGGTCCATTTCATGGGACCTTTGGTATTAGTACCAGACCTAGATGGTTGTCGGTCTTTGTAAGGGTATGTTTGGATGTTTGAGTATAGTTGTTAGTCTGGTGTTGGTGTTGTTTGGATACATGGACTATACAAATGAACGAACAACTAGTTAATTTGGATTAAAGTTTGTCCACCTATTTAGATAGTTTAATTAAGGAGATATTTGATACCATGGACTAAACTTTAGTCCTAGTTATCCAAACATATGGATTGAAAGTAAACTATTTTTTTTCAACATAACTAGCAATTAGTTCATTCTAAAAGGTGTACATGAGTGGACTAAAAGGTGTACTTTGAGTCTTTGTCGAAGGAAGCT